TCTCTAATGTTGAACCGAAAAGCGGTAGTAATGTCCCTTTATATCCCTTATGTAAATAATAACTGTTTATATGTTATATTTATAATTAATTTATTTTTGTTTCCTAAATTATTTTGATTTAAAGAAAATATATAAAAGTGGGCAACGCTGTGCCGGTGAAGTTAAACACGCGACTAAAAGTTTATTTGGTACGAACTGTATTTTTCTTCGAATATCTTTGGGGGTATTTGGATATTTTTAGTTTTCAAAACATTATTTTATTATCTACATATTATAAAATGCTAATGTTTATCTGTGTCGTCTCTACTGAAGTAACGACTTGCTCTAGAAAGTTGTTTTTTTTTTACTAAAAGATAGTTAATTGGCTCTTCTAAAAAATGTCGTCGCCGGATTTTTTGTTTTTCATTTAATTTTAAAAAAAATAAGTATTTTTTTCCTGATGTCGTGGCGGATGCGCCAGGCTTCTACTAGTTTATCATAAAATTGTAACGTAAAAATCAGAAAAATAAGACAAAAAAGACACTCTAGGTCTAAAACCTTAGCATCCCGGGGCTCATACATATTCCCTTAGATTGGGATTTCGCTAGACCTTGCCATTAATTCTGGATATCTTGCCGTGTTGAATACTGTATGAGATAGTCCCACCTTCCTTTCCAGCCCTTCTAATGGTAACCGCACAAACCCTTAGTTATTGTCGCTCTGCAATTTACATCTGGTTACTTTTCCTCTTAGAATAGCCCTTTTTATTTGTTACAGAAAGTGAATGAATTTTTTCTAGTTCCGTTTCATCCAACTTATTATAACATATCTGTGATATATTTAAATTATAGCCAAATAAACTTTTATGTTTTTTGTATATAGGTATATAGGAATGTCAAATATTTCTTATGGTTGTACAGGGTGTCCGATTTTGGTTGAAATCATACATTATCTTCGTTATTCGTGAAGATAGAAGGGTGCAGTTTGCACAAACCTGTGCCAATTTTTTGTCAAACGGAAGCTTCTGTCAACAAAATTTTCATAGCCCTCTTCGTTTCTGAGGTACCTATTGTTGCCACTGAATCCCTGAATATATTTTTCTTATTTTTTATAACGGTTTGCAAATATCTAAAAGCTTGCATTATTAAAGCATTTTCCAGGTTTTCGATATTGTATTAGTTGCCAGGATATATTTCATATTTTAAAAATTCCCAAAATCAAAAATCGAGAACGGACAAATCCGGGAATCAGGGAGGCTATCATATGGATCCATTGCATTGGTTCTAATTCATTGATTTGAGAAATAATAATGTAACAAAATTCTGATAGTTTCATTGTAAGTTAAGTTGTGAGGGGGAGCCTCAAGGAATTTTTAAAAGTTTCCCTACGATAGCTTCCAAGATTTACAAATAGCTGTAGAGAGTTAAGTTTTCCTAATATATAAAGAATTTATTAGTGACATATAGCAGTATAAGAGACATATAGCAGTATACTTTTAATAATTCTTTAGTTTTTTTTATTATCAATCATGGCCTACTAATAAATTTGATCTTTTAATATATTTTTTTAATATTATCTTAATATTATTAGCAGTGAAAATAAAATACAGAGTGATATGGTGGAGTCTTGAGAAGCTTATGGCAAGCCAGATCATATAATTTATAAATATACAGGGTGTTCCATTTAAGAAAACATAACTTTAGTTCATATCTTAAAATATTCTTTTCCTAGAATAACAGACTACGCCACTGTATTCTACGTAAAAAAGTTCTACAATAAACAGTTTTTACCGTCTCGATACCTTTAACAATAACATAGATACAGGGGGCGTCCCAAATTGCAAAATTTTCAAAAGACCCTGTCGCCTGTGAAACTAAGAGGGCAATGAAAATTTTGTTTACGGCATCTTCCATTTGAGAAAAAAGTGGCACAGGTATGTGCAAACCGCACCCTTCTATACTGTAGAGAGTTAAGTTTTCCTAATATATAAAGAATTTATTAGTGACATATAGCAGTATAAGAGACATATAGCAGTATACTTTTAATAATTCTTTAGTTTTTTTTATTATCAATCATGGCCTACTAATAAATTTGATCTTTTAATATATTTTTTTTTTAAATATTATCTTAATATTATTAGTAAATAGTAAAAATAAATACAGAGTGATATAGAGTTTTGAGAAGCTTATGGCAAGCCAGATCATATAATTTATAAATATACAGGGTGTTCCATTTAAGAAAACATAACTTTAGTTCATATCTTAAAAAATATTCTTTTCGTAGAATAACAGACTACGCCACTGTATTCTACGTAAAAAGTTCTACAATAAACAGTTTTTACCGTCTCGATACCTTTAACAATAACATATATACAAGGGGCGTCCCAAATTGCAAAATTTTCAAAAAGACCCTGTCGCTCAGAAACTAAGAGGGCAATGAAAATTTTGTTTACGGTATCTTCCGTTTCACAAAAAGTGGCACAGGTATGTGCAAACCGCACCCTTCTATATTCATGAATAACGGAGATTCCGTATGATTTCAACTAAAATGGGACATCCTTAAATCCTCTTAAATCATTGGGAATAATGAGTTGTAGGATTTTCGCAACAAAATTTTATTTATTTTTTTTTATTTCGATATTGTTCTATCCAGTAAATTATTAAAATAAACAATTTAGGAAGATCCAAACGAAACACGATGTTGCTCTGAACGCTGTTTATTCTAAACTGTACAGGGTGTCCCATTTTGGTTGAGATCGTACGGTCTCTCCGTTATTCGTGAAGGTAGAAGGGTGCGGTTTGCACAAACCTGTGCCACTTTTTTGTCAAACGGAAGATGCTGTCAACAAAATTTGTATAACCCTTTTCGTTTCTGAGCTACAGGGTCTTTTCGAAAATTTTGCAATTTGGGACCGACCCCGTATCTCCGTTATTATGGATGATATCGAAAAGGTGAAAACTGATGAACTCTTGTAGAACTTTTACGTAGAATACAGTGGCGTAGTCTGTTTTTCTACGAAAAAAAATATTTCTGAAAATATGAACTAAAGTTATGTTTTTTCAAATGGAACACTCTGTATATTTTTAAATCATATGATCCGCTTTGATATGACCTTCTCATATATATATATATATATATATATATATATATATATATATATATATATATATATATATATATATATATATATATATATACGAGGCATGTTTTTAAGTAAGTACCGTTTTGGAATAAAAAAAAACGTGCAAAGATATCGCAATAATTTTATTTTTACATGAAAGCCTGTACCTTAATCTACTTTTCTACATAATTTCCGTGAATATTGAGGCACTTGTCATAACGTGGCACCAGTTTTTCAATACCCTCCTCATAAAATTCTGCCGCCTGACTGGTTAACCACTGTATCACAACTCTTTTGACTTCGTTATCGTCTTGAAGACGCTGACCGCCAAGGTGTTATTTCAAGTGCAGGAATAAATGGTAGTCACTGGGCGCCAGATCAGGGCTGTATGGAGGATGATCTAGAGTTTCCCAATTAAAAGATTTGATGAGATCTTTGGTCCGATTAGCCACATGTGGACGGGCATTGTCATGCAGCAAAACAATACCCTTACTCAACTTGCCACATCTTTTGTTTTGGATTGCACGGCGCAGATTGTTCAATGTCTCACAATAAGATGCTGCATTGATTGTCTCATTGCGAGGCAAAAACTCCACTAGCAATACTCCTTTTCTGTCCCAAAAAACTGTGCACATGATTTTCCGGGCAGAAATTGTTTGCTTAAACTTCACTCTTTTGGGTGATGATGAATGTCGCCATTCCATGGACTGTTGTTTCGATTCTGGTGTGACGTAGGCCACCCATGTTTCGTCACCAGTAACAATTTTGCCTAAAAAATCTTCACCTTCATTGTAGTACTGCTCAAGGAAAGTCAATGCACTGCCTAAACGTTGGGTTTTGTGCAAATCCGTCAACATTTTCGGAACCCAACGTGAACACAATTTCCGGTAATTCAAGTTCTCGGTCACAATGCGATACAAAACACTACGAGAACATTGAGGAAAGTAGTCGCACAATGATGAAATTGTAAAGCGTCTGTTTTCTTTCACCTTTTCGTCCACTTTCTGCACCAAATCTTCATTAACGACCGAAGGACGCCCACTCCGTTCTTCATCATGCACATTTGTGCGGCCATCTTTAAATGCTCTCACCCATTTCCTTACCATTCCAACACTCATAATGTTTTGTCCGTAAACTTCACAGATCTCACGATGAATATCGATCGGTTTTACGCCTTTAGCACTAAGAAATCGTATGACAGCCCGTACTTCACAATCGGCGGGGCTCACGATTATCGGAGGCATCTTAAACACTCAATAAACAATTACAATGAAGAATCAGACAGTACTGGCGTCTGTGTATAGACAAGAGATGTAGGTAACCAGCGCGCATGCGCGGAACGCCGACCGTAGCGCTGCGGCGGCGGAATCGCAAAACGGTACTTACTTAAAAAACATGCCTCGTATTTTTTCATTTTCTCTTTTTCATAACGGAATTTATTACAATGTGGTTTGGGTTTGCAAATATATAAAAGGTTGCATTATTAAAGCATTTTTCAGGTGTTCAACATCGTATTAGTGCCAGTTGCCACGATATATTTCATATTTCAAAAATCCCCAAAATCAGAAATCGAGAACAGACAAATCAGGGAATCAGGGAGGCCATCATATGGGTACATTGGTTCCAATTCATTGATTTGAGAAATAATAATTTAACAAAATTCTATTATTTTCGTAGTAAATTAAGTTGTGAGGGGGAGCCTCATCTTGCTGAAAGTATATTTCACGTAAATTAGCTAAAGGAATATTTAAAAGTTCTGCTTTTTAGATTTATCGTGGAACCTCTTTAATTGTTTGAAGCCCCAAGGATTCAAACGATTAAGTATAATTTTTATCAGAGAATTTATAAATAGCTAGGTATCACTGTACAAAATCTAGTTGTAATTAAACTGCTTTCGGAAATGTTCGTTTTATTTGTGAAATGTTCTATTCTTTGTTGTTTGGTGAAATATGGTGAACCTGCAAGGATTCTGGGTGTGTTTCCCATGTCTTCTGGGAGTCACCACATCCTGGTTTACAAACTGATGAAAGGTTTAGCCGATGCAGGACACGATATCACCATGGTAACACCTTATGAACAAGAGAATATGCCAAAAACTAAAGGAAATTATAGTGAAATTATTTTGGATGAAATGAGAGAGCTTATTAGTGGTAATAATAATATTATATGAATATCTTCTGTCATAGATCTGAGACTGCGACTGCTAAATCCCAAATATTAACTAAATAGTGGTCCGTTACCACAATAATGTTATATGTGTCTGTTACAATATAATAAATAAGTAGTAGGTATCCACTTTACTTTAAGTTTGCTATTTTCAATTTTTTTTCTTATGTAAAGTGGCTACTTTAAATGTAAACTAAAGTAGATATACCTACCTATTTATTATATCTTCTAAAAGTATAGTATCTATTAAGTACAAAATAAGTAAGCAGTTTTTTTAAAATTTAGTATGTCTCTATGATGTTTACAGGGTGTTTCAAAAAACATGTTCCATCTCTCATGGGGAGATTTCTAACCTTAAAATGAGGTTTATTTTTTACATCAACATAGGTCTGATTCTGCTTTGTTTCGTTACAGAGCTACAGAGAGTTAAAATCTTATTTTTTTTTCGATTTATTGCAATTTTCTTCCAAGAGCTGTTGTAGAATATAGAATGTTTAGGAGGGGAGAATCACCGCTACCTTATAGATATATTGTGTGTTCTCCCTTTCTTGAGTTATAACGAGTTATCATACAGTCTCAGGGCTTTAACAAAAGCCAGTATCTGAGACGGCTCCACAGAGGCCAGCTCTCCATCCTCGACATCAGCCGTACCAAAGTTCATGGCACGAATGGTCATCGCCGTCGTCTCGGCGCACTCAGTGATAAGGTGTTCTGGTATTTCCCCATTATTTTCCCCACAGAATCTGCATCCGCCGTTGTTTCTCAGCTTCAGCCTACTGAGGTGTTCGTTGAGGAGACAGTGTCCTGTTAGAAACCCCGTGACAATCCGAAGATTGTTTTTACTTAAATCAAGGAAAACCTTTGATTTTTCTCGGTCGTAAGTTCTGAGGAACTTTTTCGAGTGTCTTAGACCGTTGGAGGGCACCCATTCCAAGTTACGGATGGAGTCTTCCAGATTCTTCAGTTCTCCTTTCAGTTGGTCCCGTTTGGAAAACAGAACGGTTCTCGTTCAGTTAGTGGAGTGTTCGCTCCTTTCCTAGCTAGATCATTTGCTTTTTCATTGGCTTCTATCCCTTGGTGAGCAGGCACCCAGAGTAGGAGGAGTTTATTTTCTTTGCCTAATTTGTTGAGCTTCTCTAGGCATTCTTTGACCAACTTCGAATTGATGGTTACTGAGTTGATTGCGTTAAGTGCTGCTTGACTATCGGATAGGATGGCAATTTCCTGTTTTCGATAGTTCCTGAAGGATACTGGGGTAGGTGCCCATTGGTCGGGAGTATTTAGTTTTTGGCCCAAATACTCCTATCCCTGTCCCTGCTTTGGTTTTGGAAGCATCAGTATACCACGTTATGGTATGGTCTTTTATATGCTGAGTCTTCCAATCCTTTTTATTACTCAATACTGCAGTGAGGTGTTTCTCAAAGTCGTAAATTCCAAAAGCTGTTAGTGATTCGAATGAAATTTTGAGGGTAGAAGTTATAATACTACCTACATATTTTAATGGTAAAAAGTGTCAACAGATTTATCAGGGACGTGCATATGGGTTATCACTGGAATATTATTCTAAAAAAAAACATGTGCGCTAACGACTTTTTTTCTCTTGTTATCAAAATTGTGTAGACCGTTTTATGCTGATTAAAAGTTTTATTATTCAAAATTAATAAAATTAAAATAAAAATCGAATTAATAATTTTTTTATTTGCTTAAATTTTTACTATTTTTATTAAAATTTACACTGATATTCAGTGCTACCTAGAGAGCACATTCGAAAACAAAATAATAACATTTACGAAAGTTACAATAAACCTATTTTTTATTTTTATGTTTTAACATCCTGTAACTTTAAAACTGTGCATTTTCGCACCCATCTGTATAGGAACTTTTTGACATGTTTTTTGAAGAGAAATCAATGAGTACTTGTTTAACACTTTGCCCCTTTGTTGATATACGAAATAAATCTTATGTTTACATGAGGAATTTCCCCACGAGAGCTGGCAATTTTTTGAAACACCCTGTATAAATTTATGGGAAATGGATAACGAGGAAGGTTGGACTAAAGGGACATATTTAATTCTTCAGACAATTTATAATTTTAAAAAACAAAAAGAAAATATATATACACTTTAAAAATTATAATGCTAAAATATTATTTCTGCCAAAACACGAAGATTTTGTGGAATAAACTTTTTTTTTAAGAATAGATTTTCTGTTACTTTTAAGACAATATACGCCTGACCCCGTCACACTGTAAACAAATGAACATATTACAAAAACTATTAACTTTAGGTACATATATTACATTATTATACAAAAAGTTATAAAATTTTACGTAGATTCCAAAAAATAAAATAAAAAATAGGTTGTTACATTTAAAAAAAACTTATGTTATATCCGTCACACTTTTTTGAGCACCCTGTATACTTTGTAGTAATTTTAAAATGCGCATCTTAACCTTCCCTATAACTTTTATATATTTAACAATTTTTAATAATTCGTTATATAATAAAATGAAAAATATACGAAATAATATACATGTACTGATTTTTTTCGAAAATCGACAACTATGAAACTATGAACCCTTCCCGGACACAAACGGTACATTGTGATACAGGAAATTGTAGAGAGAAACAAGCCCTATAACGTAGGATACAACATTTTAATGAACAGTGCTTTCCATAAAATCAATAAAATGAAAAATATACGAAATAATATACATGTACTGATTGCTTTCGAAAATCGACAACTATGAAACTATGAACCCTTCCCCGACACAAACGGTACATTGTGAGACAGGAAATTGTAGAGAGAAACGAGCCCTATAACATAGGATACAACATTTTAATGAACAGTGCTTTCCATAAAATCAATAAAATGAAAAATATACGAAATAATATACATATACTGATTTTTTTCGAAAATCGACAACTATGAAACTATGAACCCTTCCCCGACACAAACGATACATTGTGAGACAGGAAATGGTAGAGAGACACAAGCCCTCTATAACATAGGATACAACATTTTAATGAACAGTGCTTTCCAAAACAAATGAATTAATGGCTTTATCGTTGACTCACCCTGTACAATACCAGTAAATACAATTCCCGCCCAATTAATACATATATGCACAAAGTTATAGGTAATCTAATACGCATCATTTTTTTTGCAGCACAACACAAAAACCTGGACTTGTTCAATATGGGCAAACAAAACATGGCCGTCATGATGCCACTACTCATCACTATATTCGGAAGGAACATAAACAATACCTTGCACCATCCAAAAGTGAGGGCCTTACTGAGTTCCAACGAAAAATTTGACGCAGTCATTGTGGAACACTTCATGGCAGACGTCATGAAGATATTTCCATCAGTTTTCAACTGCCCTCTCATATTGTTGTATAGTATGGGACCAAATAGTTGGATCAATCCAAGCGTAGGAAACCCGCAAGAGATTTCCTATGCCAGACACTTATATTCTAGAGGCAATAATGCAGTACCCATGACGTTTTTCGATAGAATAATTAATGTATTGTATCACGTATTCGATTACTTATTGAACACATTCTATTATCACCCTTTATGCGACAAACTGTTACGTAATGCATATCCAGGAGTTCCAGATACCAAATCGTTAGCCCCAAATGCTTCCTTAGTACTGCTAAACTCACATACCAGTCTCTATCCGGCTCATCCGCTGGTACCAAATATGGTAGAGATTGGAGGATACCATGTTGATCCTCCTGGAAAGCTACCAAAAGACTTACAGGAGTTTTTGGATAATGCCAAAGATGGAGCGGTATATTTTAGTATGGGATCAAACCTAAAAAGTAAACTGATGTCTGAAGAAAGAAAAAAAATTATTTTGAACGTTCTGGGAAGATTGAAGCAGAAAGTTATTTGGAAATTCGAAGAGGAATTACCTGGAAAGCCTGATAATGTGCTGATTAAAAAATGGCTGCCTCAGCAAGACATCCTGGGTAAGTACGCATAGTTAACCTTGTAAAGCCATATACAGAGTTATAACACAACTGTGGTTGTAAGTTCTAAATATTTTTGAAAGAAAAAAAATTGTGTATGCACTATATTTTATATCAATTAAACTTTTAGTTACGTAATCGAGGGCGCGATTTTTAAATTCATTGTTGCCAACCATGGACATATTCTGCGCCAGGCTGGCTAACTGGAATTTAAATTTCGCGCTGGGGATTCAGGTGGTAGCTCTGCTGTAAAAATATCAAGTTGCCACATGTAATTATTTATTTCCTGACGTTGTCATTTGTTTTGACACTTGTTGACAACAATGTTGACTTTGCAGTAGAACATTGTTCTTTTTAGAACTTCTTCTAGTGCGAAGTGTACAACATAGCTTAATAACCGTAAAAAACTCATCGCAACTTTATTAGAATATGTTTAACTGGAAAGCGGTAGTAATGGCCTTTTATGTCCCTTAAGTGCTGTTAAGGAGGTGAGTTTTGTTGATGTCAATAATAACTGTTCTTTCTTAAAATATTTTGATTAAATGAAAATATGTAAAAGTGGGCAACGCTGTGTCTGTCAAGCTTAATCACGTGACTAAAAAATTTTTTGGTGTGATGTATACATATGTATTAAATATATTTTTTTTCTTTTTATTCTTGGCTTTAGGTCGTTGGGGTTGTAAAGATGTTATTGGATTTTGTTCATTATTTTTTATTTTTATCGACGGTATATTATGTCTTTTTCAAGTCTCTTTAAGTACATAAAAAAACAGTCAGTTAAAATCAAATGTATTATGTATACAGGGTGGTCCGAACTGTATTCCGGAAATTTTGGCAGCATATTCTGCAGATAAAAATAAGTAAAAAAGTTCCTATAAATGTATGTCATAAAATGCTTAGTTTCGGATATACAGGGTGTAGAAGTTTCCTTTTTATTTCGATTTTTTTCCAAATAATTTCTGAAATAACGTCAATATATGGATGAAAATTGGTTTTTGGGAGTTTTTTGACATGCGAAATTTTATTTTGATGTCAATATGACTCCTAGAGGGCGCCACCTACATATGTTTTAACTGGTTTGAAGAGTAATAACTTTTCGTCCGTATCTGTATAAAACTACTGAGTAAAAAAATATACATTTACGACGTTTTTTACCTTAAAAAATGTCTCTTGGTAAAAATTGCTACGATTAATGGTTGTCGAGATATTTGGAATCGAAATTATATCAATACTTGTCATCATTGACATAGATTAAAGTTGTTGGCTAAAAGTAGTTATTATAGACTGAAATAATAAATTTAAGATATTTTTTTGTACCAAAAATTCAACAGAAATTGTTTTATCATCATTTTTTCGCAGAAAAATTTATGATTAACTTAAAAAAAATAAATATGTCCCAAATTTATTATTTCAGTCAAATAACTATACAGGGTGGCACACCTCATTCGCCTCGGTTGATTATAGAGAACCGGAAAGATGTAGAAACAAAATATTTTATGGATATATGTGGGAAAGCAATGTGCATAATTTAAAATTATTTTAAAATATACAGGATGTGTCAGAACTAAGATCCATACCAAAGTTATATTTTTTCTTATGGAACACCCGGTATTTTATTTCATTTTTGGATTCTTGGACATAAAATAAGGCATTTATTATAAGGGTTTAATATGTCTAAAAGCTTTGGATTTTGAGATATTTAAAGATATTTAAATATGCAAGCTATAATAAAAAGGTTTGGCAACACCTTGTATATTACTTTCCAAATTTAAATCTGGTGCTGACTTTCAAGCAAGAGAAATAAACTTTACTAAAAAATTTGGTTGCTTCCTTAAATGTAGACAAGGTATCAAAAATTGCTGGTCTATTTTAACTATTTATTTTACATAAAAACTTCGTTATTTCAAATGCTCCACTATGGTATTTTTTAAATAAGTCGAAGCAGATTTAAATGCTCTTTCAAAGTATATTAGGGTTTCTTATACCTATCTGGTTCAGATTTTGAATAAAAAGGGATTTTTCAATAAAACTGTAATCAAGATGGCTTGTGTCGCCATGGTAATTTTCTAGTGACACTTAGTGACTATTTTCAAAATCGACATTAGTTTACGGACTTTATTTAAATTTATAACGGTTTACTTTTACTTAATTTGCCTATAATAGTTTAATAAGTAAGCATTTGTTATTTTGTCAAGAAAAATAAAGAAGTAATTCTTTGATTGATATTACGATGACTTGTAGATATATTGGATTTTCTATAAAAGAACCAAATTAAGGTAAATTAATTTTCTTCACTTCCAACGACATGTTTCTGCCTAATAGGTTTTTCATATACCACACTATCAGCTCTGTGAAATAGGAAAAATAGTTTTTCAAAAGAACGCCTCTTAGGAAGATTCCTATTTGGATATCTTTGAGCATAAACCCTTCAGGCCAACAAGCAATTGTCCTCACAAATTAAAATAACTAGTAGCATACATTCTTTCCGCCAGCAAATACTGCTTCATTTTTCTTGATAAAATAATAAACACTTACTTATTAATATTATTGTAGGTAAATTAAATAAAAATATATAAAAATTTAAATAAACTCCATAAACTAATATCGATTTTGAAAATAGCTACTAAGTGTCACTAGACAATTGCCATGGTAAAAATCGCTTTTTATTCAAAATCTGAGCCAGATAGGTATAGGAAACTCTAATATAGTTTGAAAGAGCATTTAAATCTGCTTGGCTTATTTAAAAAAATACATAGTGTTGCATTTGAAATAACGAAGTTTTTAGGTAAACTAAATAGTTAAAATAGATCAACAATTTTTGATACTCCTGTATACATTTAAGGAAGCAATCAAATTTTTTAGTAAAGTTTATTTCTCTGGCTTGAAAGTCAGCACCGGATTTAATTCTGAAAAGTAATGTACAAGGTGTTGACAAACCTTTTTATTATAGCATGCATATTTGAATATCTTTAAATATCTCAAAAACCAAAGATTTTAGAGATATTAAACTCTTATAATAAATGCCTTATTTTATGCTCAAGAATTCAAAAATGAAATAAAATACCGGGTGTTCCATAAGAAAAAATATAACTTTAGTATGGATCTTAGTTCTGGCACACACTGTACATTTAAAAATAATTTTAAATTATGCGCATTACCTTTCTACATATACCCATAAAATATTTTGTTTCTACATCTTTCCGTTTTCGTATAATCAACCGAGGCGAATGAGGTGCGCCACCCAAGCAGCATTTGGACGTCGGGACAACGTTGTGTCACGCGACCAAACGTCGGGGCGCAACGTCGGCACAACCTCGTGCCAACCCTAGTCTGCACTAGTTTGGAGAATAATTTTTGGGTCGAAAGGACGTTGGATACCGACGTTGGCTCGAAGCCTAATTTAGTACAAACTGCAGCGTTGTTTAAAATCCTAATTCACAGAAATACAAAACTAATATGGCGTCTAAGTCGCGTTTTATCCTAAATTGGGATAATTATAGTAAAAATATTATTTTTATGATTTAGTTAGAGACATAAGTCAGAGGCAGTGAAGGAAAACAAACAAAATTATTTAAGTGTGGAGGATGTTTGAAGATCATAATTATTGAAACACTTTTAACCGACTCTGTAACTCGTTACCCAAGGCAAAAAGTTAAACGCAAACAACTTTATTGATAAATGTATTGTTTCTACTTTGAAAAATACTAATGGGCCTTAAAATTAAAGAAGTTTTAAAAATTTTCTTGAATTTTTTTTTTAGTAAAATGAGAATAATTTATTCGCAGTCGAAAAAATCGTTTCCGGGTGTTTTTTAGGGTCAAATATTTCAAGTTAATGTATTCAAATGCAGGAATTGCTATTTTAGGAACGAAACATTTTCTTATTTAACAACATGGCGGCTTTCACTTTGTTGTTTTGGAGATTAAGATGGAGTAGTTCGAGTAGTCGCATACTGGACTAATAAAGTCGCAGTTCGGCCGTAACAGGTAGTATACTAGTCGCAAGATTGCCTAATTTAGTCATCCTAGAGTCTAGCTTGTGCCGCCCTCTATAATCTAAATAAACGAGGGAGTGGATAAACTATCGGTAATATATGTCGATGTATTTTTAAATTTAGTTTTATATGTACCTTTCTTATGTCCCATTTTAATTAAGTTTTTTTAAAAACAAAACAGCACTGAACTGTCTGACTGAACAGAACAATGAAGTGAAAATTTAAGATTTAAGGTTATGGTTCAATACAGTTGCAAAAAGGTAGTGACTCGACGTCCTACCAACGTAAGAATAAGGAAATCTAAACAACGTTGGAATTAGTAAAACAGACGACGTTTGCATAACGTTGGAATAGGTCCTGAAACTGACGTCGGAAAACTCTATATTGTCCAACGTTGTAACTAGGTTGTCCAAATCACCTAAAGATCACTTAAGCAAAAAAGGTTACAAGACAACGTTTATTCGACGTCGCAGAAGCTTCTACTTTGCTGTAGTACTAGTCCAACGTCGGCACAACGTTATAAAAACGTTTAAATTTATTTTAATACCCAAGGTAGGGAGCTAACTATTTTTTGTAACTAATCCAACGTTGTGTTTAGTAAACATGTGGTCGCAAGTCGTGAAAATGCTACTTGGGCACCCTGTATACTCAACATTTTTATTCTTTGTCAATGACATGTATTGACGGCTGCTCGTAGCGATTTTTACCAAGAGACATTTTTTATGTAAAAAGTCACAGAAATATATATTTTTTTACTCAGTAGTTTTATACAGGGACGAACGAAAAGTTATTACTCTTCAAAACAGTTAAAACACATGTAGGTGGCCCCCCTACAAATAGGAGGCATATTGACATCAAAATCAAATTTGTGATGTCAAAAAATTCTCAGACACCAATTTTTATCCAAATATTGACGTTACTTCATAAATTATTTGAAAAAAATCGAAATAAAAATGAAAGTTTTGCACCCTGTATCTCCAAAACTAAGCATATTAGGACATACATTTATACGAACTTTTTTACTCATTTTTATCTGCAGAATATGCTACAGTTCGGACCACCCTGTATATAAAAAAACATATGTATTAATAAAGCGTTATTTTATCATTGCAGCTCATCCTAACATCAGACTGTTTATAACCCACGGAGGATTACTGAGTACCACCGAAACAGTATACCACGGAGTACCGATTCTAGCTATCCCGGTTTTTGGAGATCAGCCAGGCAATGCAGAAAAAGCCGAATACGCAGGTTACGCCTTGAAACTGGGTTACCATGACGAGAATTTCACAGAAGAAAACTTGGAAAAGTCAATTCTTGAACTGCTGAATAATCCAAAGTACCGTGAAAATGCTCAAAGGAGGTCCAAATTGTTCCACGACAGACCGATGAAGCCCATGGATACCGCAATATACTGGGTGGAATATGTGATAAGGAACAATGGTGCTCAGCATTTAAGAATCGCTGGTGCAGACCAAGCATGGTACGAGTACTATCTGGTGGATGTAGTACTGTTTCTTCTAGCTTGTTTAGTTGTAGTCTTCGAAATCTCGAAATTTGTTCTTAAAAAAGCATTTTTAGTTGTAAGATCTAAACTCAGTCCCAAACAAAAACTTAAAACTAAATAAATTAGCCTTTTAATGAGCTTAAAATAATTAAAGCAGGGTACAGTGGTTCCCTTTAATTAGCTGCGCGGTCATAACTGTTATATATCTTGTTAGCGCCTTCGATAGCTCTGGTTCCGAGTGTTACTTGCCCTTACTAGCGGCGGCTAGGTTGAATAACATTGACACATTAAATTTTCAATTACTGTATTGAAAGAAAATTATAAAAATGGAAACGTGATTGTGTAATTATAATAATTGCAATGTCTTATTTTCAGTCTGTCTTCTTCTATTAGTAAAGATAGGACGATGCGGTTTACATAAACCTGTGCCACTTTTGTGTCAAACGAAACATGCTGTCACAGGGCCGGATCTACCTAAGGGCTGTTTGGGCTGCAGCCCAGGGCCCCGAGGTTACAGGGGGCCCCCAGACCCCACTGAAAACAATAGGCGATAATTTGAATTTAAAAAAATCTAAAATTAAAAAAAAAAATACCATAATTTTTAATTACTGCACTCATTACAAAGTATTCACGTATTCAAATGCAACGATTATCTCGTTCACTCTTTATTTATCAGAAAAAAATCAAAGTCTTAATTTACAATAATGTCTGGTCGAAAGTATAAAAGTGGAGCTGAGAAACGCAAATTACAGCTAGATCGAAAAAAGAAAGAAAAAATGTGCAAAAATTGGGACTTTTTCCAATCAAAACATAAAAACTAACGACGAAATCGCTGAAAATCCATCAACAAGCGACAAGGGAGGGATCTTATCTGAAGAGAATCTATCTAAAGGGAGTAGCAAATCGCAACACCAAGAAAAAAAGACAAATGATGAAAATGTGCAAAGTCTTGACTACCAGCAACCCTCTGATCAACCGGCAATCGACATTGGTGTTCAGCGACAGGATGGTAACACCGAGACGGAAAGAAATTTAGACAATATTAATTTTGAGTTTGAGAAATATGTTGACGTGGGCTTGTGGCCAGAATTGCTAAATAATGATTTTATTAATGACATCCTCTCACATGAAATGACTGACTTTCAAAATAAAAATTAAAAAAATATATATTCAGCTTCTAAAAAGAAATACAAGGAACAAAACAGAGCATTTTCAAATAGCCATTTCACTAAAAAAAATGAAAAATGGTCAATCACTGGAAAGATCTTGGCTAATATATTCAACCAGCGTTGACGCTGTTTTTTGTTTGCCTTGGAAACTTTTTTTTAAAACCTCTTCTCAATACACGACCAGAATTTCTGATTGGAAACACATAGAAACTTGTTTAGAAACCGACGAAAATTCTAATGAACATAAGTAATCCATGTTAGTGTGGTTGATACGAAAAGAAAATAAGTCTGTTTTCAGGAGACATATGACAATCGATCTGGTTTTGCGTAATTAAGAAAAGAAACAGAATATTATCACAATGTCCTAAAACGGGTAATTATAGTGGTAAAATTTTTGAGTATAAGAGGCTTAGCATTTAGAGGTTCCGAGGAAGTATTTGGTTCTCCACATAATGGTAATTTTATGGAAGGTCTGGAGCTATTGGCAGAGTTCGATCCATTCATTCGTGAACACATTGAACAACGGGAGCTGCGACCAAAACCGATAATTTCGTACCGAGTATCGTACTTATTAAAAACACACAAAGACACAAAATATTATTCAACTGTGATGGATTCTACACCAGATCTATCTCACAGTTACCAACTTGCTATTGTATTAAGATACTGTTTTCGGGGAAAAGTATATGAAAGATGTGTAGAGGCCTTCATTAATATTAGTAGTCATACTGCCTTACATTTATTTAATATTCTACAAGACTTTATAGAAACAAATGGATTACTAATGAGTAATTGTAGGGGGAAATCTTATGACAACGCTGCCAATATGGCGGGTCACTACAATGTTTTTTGACATGGCTATTAGTTGAGTACTAAGGTAGGCCCCTAAGTAGTTTCAGCCCAGGGCCCCTCAAATTCACGATCCGCCCCTGTGCTGTCAACAAAATTTTCATAGCCCTCTTCATTTCTGAGCTACATTGTCTTTTCGAAAATTTTGCAATTTGGGACAGCCCCCGTATCTCCGTTATTATAGATGATATCGAGAAGGTGAAAACTGATTCTTATAGAACTTTTTACGTAGAACACAGTGGCGTAGTATGTTTCTTTACGAAAAAAGTATTTTTGAAAATATGAACTAAAGTTATGTTTTTTCAAATGAAACACCCTGTATATTAATAAATCATATTATCCGCGTTGCTATGAGCTTGCCAAAAATATATATCACTCTATATTTATTTTCATTATTTACTGCAATATTTAAAATATATCATTTTCTTATTAGTAGGCCGTGATAAATAACAAAATATCAAAATGGTATTTACTAAAATAGTCGTACATACATTAAAATTTTATTTGGAATTGATATATTTTACTTTTGAATCTCTGAATATATTTTTCTTATTTTTTTATAACGGAATTTGTTATAACCAGATGGGTTTGCAAATATTTAAAAGCGTGCATTATTAAAGCATTTTCCAGGTGTTTGACATTGTTTTAGTTGCCACGATATATTTCATGTTTCAAAAATTCCTAAAATCAGAAATCGAGGGAATCAGGAAACGGACATATCCGGGAATCAGGGAGGCTATCACATGGGTCCATTCACTGGTTCCAATTCATTGATTTGAGAAATAATAATTTAACAAAATTCTAATATTTTCGTTGTAAGTTAAGTTGTGATGGGGAGCCCCATCTTGCTGAAAGTATATATCACGTAAATTAGCTAAAGGAATATTTAAAAATTCCGATACAATAACTTTCAAGATTTACAAATAGCGGTAAAAAGTTAAGTTTCCCTAATATATAAAGAATTTATTAGTGGCCCCCAAAATAAAACAAGAGACAGATAACAGTATATTTTTAATAATTTTCTAGTTTTTTTTATTATCTATCATGGCCTACTAATAAATATGATCTTTGAATACTTTTTTTGAATGTTGCAGTAAATAGTGAAAATAAATATAGGGTGATATATATTTTTGAGAAGCTTATGGCAAGCCAGATAATATAATTTATAAATATACAGGGTGTTCTATTTAAAAAAGCATAACTATAGTTTATATCTTCAAAAATATTCTTTTCGTAGAATACCAGACTACTCCACTGTATTCCACGTAAAAAGTTCTACAATAAACAGTTTTCACATTCTCGATACCTTTAACAATAACAGAGATACAAGAGGTGTCGCAAATTGCAAAATTTTCAAAAAGATCCTGTAGCTCAGAAACGAAGAGGGCTATGAAAATTTTGTTGACAGCATCCTCCGTTTGACAAAAAAGTGGCACAGTTGTTTCATTTTATAAATACAATTTTATTGTCAATTGATATACAGTGTGTCCACGAAATAAGTTGACACGAAGGAGAAAAAATAAATTACTTTTATTTTAAGACAAAAAGTCAATCTTTAACCACCCGGTATAAGATCCGGCGGCAATTCGCGGCAGCCAGTGGCAATTAATTTATAGGCAATATACTTTAAGCAACAAATATTTTCATGTCGTGTAAGAGGATTTGAAAGGGAAAGTAGTTAAAAGTTTTAAAGATTGACAAGCAAAAATGTAAAAATACTAATTTTGTTACCTTAAAATAAATTACTAACCGTTACTAACTAATATTACTTAGGTTTAATTAAGTGCAAAAAAGAAAAAACAGTTCTTTTTACCTTCTTTTCGAACGTCCATTACAGAAAAGGCAACAGCTTTTATCAATTTTAATAAAATAAGTAATTAATTGGCGTTATGTGAAAACTGTTTATGTCAGCTTGATACAAGTAGCAAAAATGTGACATTTCTAATAAAAAAAGCGCTACGCTAGGCTTACTTGATTTTGTTATTTATTATGTATCGTTGACAGGAGAATATAAGAAAAGTATTAGCAACAGTTTCGTGCAAATATTTTGAAATTAATATTTCTAAGTAATGACCTATCTGGGCACCACTGTGCAGGGCCTCGATAATTCGTACACTCAAAAGTTTCAGCTTGTTCGGATTAACGAATCCAGTGTGAATAAGTGCAAATATTTTTAGGGGTAGTATATTTTAACACCAGGAACACGATTACGAGACATTTTTCGAGAATAAAATTTTTTTAAATTTGGATTTTTTTTTTGTTTTTAGTTAAAAATATAATTTTCTTGATAATATGGCAACATAGGTAGTAGATTAAATTTACAAAAAAATACAGAAAATATCCAGTGGTCCCCAAAATTTAAGCAAAAAATCATAAATTCGATTACTCGAATGGAAACTCGATTATTTTGGACTTCTTGAAAAACGGTAAAGAGAAAATATGTCTCTTTTATCGAGATCTACCAGCCCTGAAAATATTTACATTTATTTAAGACTTACCATTTATTTTACGGGTTGGTAGATCTCGAGAAAAGAAGCATATTTTCTTTTTATTGTTTTTCAAATAAGTCCAAAATAACGGAGTTATTTTACTTTGAAAATTTCCAAAAAAAAATATGTTTTGCCAAAATTTTGAGAACCACTGGATTTTTCTGGATTGTCTTTCTTGTAAATTTAATCTAATACCTATGTTGCCATATTATCAAGAAATTATGTTTTTTAACCTTTAACTCAAAACTAAAAAAAAATACAAATATTTTTTCAGAAAATTTCGAATTTTCAATTTTTTTTGCGAAAAGAACCTCATGGGCGTGTTTCTGGGGTTGAACTACCAATATTATTACCAGTTAAAATACTTGCACTTATTTCTGGGACACCCTGTATATATTTTAAAAGGCAAAATTGAACAGCTGTTTATAATTGAAAGTGAATGCAAATTTTAATCAATAAGTATTATACAATAATACACTTGTTTAAAAAAAATCAAATAGTCGCTATAAAATCATAATTAAAATAACAACTACGAAATTGTTATGTTATCTAACTCATTTAGTTATATTGCGCTATGTTATATAAACTATGGAGCAGGGTTGGAGCAACTTTATTTACTTTTATTTGTTGATTTTACGCATCCTTGTTTTAAATGATGTTTAAATATAGTATGAAATAATAAAAAAAATACTGTACAGGGTGGGTCAAATTCGACGCTTTTAAATGAAAACACCCTTTTCTATAGGAGATAGACGAAAACCAATATCGGTGTCTGGACCTCAATTTTCATCAAAAACATGATGGTGAAAACCGCACATCAATATCTTTTACCGTTTCGGAGTTAGGGGGTGTTTAT